AGAGAAAGAGAGAGAGAAAGAGAGAGAGAAAGAAAGAAAGAAAGAAAGAAAGAAAGAAAGAAAGAAAGAAAGAAAGAAAGAAAGAAAGAAAGAAAGAAAGAAAGAAAGAAAGAAAGAAATCAAGTGGTCTATCTGTATGTACGATACGTATATGATAGCGGGTGTTCTGAGATGACCCTTTTATGTGACCTATCTTACATATTCCATTTCCTATATTGCTTTGTCATAGAATATAGATGCAATCATATCAACAAAAGGGAAAGAATCCTTTCTCTATGAACTTCCACTAAGCCTTGCATTATTACACAGCCTACACTTGTTTCATGTTAAATAACAACCAAAACATTATGGGAAGCTTCAAGACCATAGAAAAACAGGTCGATCCAGAGAAAAGGGTATTTTGTATGAGTTCTATTGTGTAGCACTTTGATTAACATTGCTTTCTGCAAAAGAAGTGGACATGCATTTGTCCAGGCATTACACATTTAAAATTTCACCTCTATTTTTTCCATTTCTTCCAAGGCAGCATCTTAGACTTGAAGACCTGCCTTATTGGTCTCTTGGGTCATGTGGTCAGAGGAGAGTAGGGACCCATCCAGTCCCTCAAGGGGCACGGGGGTCTCCTTGGGTCAACAGGGAATCGAACCTCCCTGCAAACTGAATGCCCAGAGTTGGATGTGGCCCCAGAGTCTATCATGGCCTGCACGCCAACAAACCCCCCGTGATAGCATAAACTGGATGGTCAGCACAAAATTCAAGGGAACTGTACTTCACCCCAGTAGGCCCCCCCTATGACCGCCGGGGAATGTTTATTTCCCGCTGGAGAGGTCTTGGCTGGGCAAGCGGCTACATAGTGGCCTCCCACCCACCCACAGTACAAGCAAAGGCACTTTTTCTCCAGGAGGGTCAAGTGACTACGGGATCCATCCACTTCCATGGGATCTGGAGGCAAAGGGACGCTGGGCAGAGTGGCCCTTGGAGGAGGGCGCTCATCCTCAAATGGGGAGTTACAGAGCTCATGCTGCCTCTTGATTAACTGGGTGTTGATATTAATACAAAGGTTGATGAAGTCAGTCAGGCCAGTTGGCAACTCCACCCGAGCTAATTTGTCCTTGATAGCCAGATTCAGCCTCAGCTGGAAGTGGAACCACTGCACCACCTCATTCTAGGCAATATCAGTTGCAAGGCAACAGAACTCAGACACAAAGTCAGCAACTGACCTACACCCTTGATTCAGGGCCTGCTCCACTGTCTGGGCCCAGTTGGCATCCTCAAACATGCCTTCCAAAGCTCGCAGGAAAGCCACCACAGACCTCAGGGAGGGATGACTGGTCTCCAGCAATGGCAACACCCAAGTTAGAGCTGGGCCTGACAGTAAACTGATCATCAGCGTCACCCAGCTTTGCTCTGTCAGAAAGGCACCTGGATCCATCTGGAAGAGGAGCTGGCATTGGTTCATGAAACACTGCAGCTCTTTGCAGTTTGCAGAAAAGCAAGCTGGCAGCAGAGGAGCAGGAGCACAAATTAGTGGTGACACCGCATTCCGACTTGCAGAAACCTGATTTTGCAAGGCCTGGACCCTGGCTTGCAAGGCCTAGGTCTGTAGATATGGCAGCCAGGTCAGGGTGCAAGAAGTGGACTCGCCAAACTGTCAGGGTCCGGGTTGTGCATGGTTGCTTTCAACAGTGGAGGTAAGGGCACAAGGACCCAGCCAAAAGCATAGAATGCCAACCCCAAACTCAAACATGGATCAACCTGCCAGGATAGGAGCACAGGAGCAGAAACCAGATCACTGGGGCTGGAACCATGCCGCAGGAGTGGGAGCACTGAGCCAGAGCAGGAATGCAAGGTCAAGAATACCAGCGTTCAGAGCAGGAATGGAAGCAGAGAACCTCTGTTGCTGAGGCAACTTCCGGGAGGGAGAGTCCTTCTTTAAGTAGGCCCTCCCTCAAGACTCCCAGGTGGACCTCATGAGAGCACCTGAAGCTGCTGCCTGGTAGGGCTTGATCCTGCAAACACTCGGCTCTTCCTTGGACCAAGGTGCCCTGGAGGCATTTCACCTGGTACTAAGGGGAGTTGAACCAGATAGCTTGGTGCAACCAGGAGACAGCCAGATCGTACCTAGTTAGGCAGTCAATTCCTAGCACTACCAGGAAGTGGGGGATGGCAATGATATCAAACACAAACCAATCCTGACGGTGGGGGCTGATAAAGATACCTAATGTCTTGGTCTCTTGGGTCATGTGGTCAGAGGAGAGTAGGGACCCATCCAGTCCCTCAAGGGGCACGGGGGTCTCCTTGGGTCAACAGGGAATCGAACCTCCCTGCAAACTGAATGCCCAGAGTTGGATGTGGCCCCAGAGTCTATCATGGCCTGCACGCCAACAAACCCCCCGTGATAGCATAAACTGGATGGTCAGCACAAAATTCAAGGGAACTGTACTTCACCCCAGTAGGCCCCCCCTATGACCGCCGGGGAATGTTTATTTCCCGCTGGAGAGGTCTTGGCTGGGCAAGCGGCTACATCGTGGCCTCCCACCCAACCACAGTACAAACA